TCTGTCTGACATCATTCACAACAACTCACGAACCCCGCGGCGCAAACATCTGCGTCTGCACTTCTCTTCATGCGTGATCATGTTGCGTGTGTGTTTAGGATTCCGAGTAATGTTTGTGCAGTTTATTACATCATCTCTAGCAGCTGATCATAAATCACTCTTTAATTACAGACGTGATTACTGAGCTGCTCGTCCCATTATAACTCAAGCACTGGACTCAAAACTCCGTCCCGTCAGCTGCGCTTCTATGAACGGATTCATTCGCTCACACTCGCTGGAGCATTACATACAGGATACTTCACATTAACAGCAGCTAATGCATCAACCAACAACTGAGCAATGCATCTGTTAATGTTAATTAATAAAACATTGCTCATTGCTGTTCAATCCCTTGCAGCCTTTCTTGAGTTCCTCACCATAAAACACAACAGAACATCTAAAAATGAGACGCAGAGACACAGAAAGCAAGTCTCACTGCAAACACTGGCAGATCAGACATTTCACTTCAGAAACCTCCCGTGATGTTCTTACATTAATATCACATGTCATGACAAAATGGGAAGGTGGAACACATCAGCTGATGTGATTAATAATTTATATAGGCAGATATACTGTATAAATGATGTTGTTTCTGCTGTAAAACACTGTGACGCAAGAAACAAGAGCATCTCAAGAGCACAGGAGCCGTGGAACGTGACTCGTCATTTGTGGTTACTAGATACAGATTCAAGCAAAAACTAAAATAAAAATTGAATAAAATAATTAAAAAGCTAATAAAATCTGGGAGTGACTAGAGATATACTAGCTACAGAAATACACACGACTTCTCCGAGTCTGGATCACAATCCTACACTTCCCTGATGTGTGAATCAAACACAACTAATCGAGATACTGCGACAAAACCAAGAGCATCTAGAAGAATCCAATGCTCCACAGACTGGATGTGTGTCATGATGAGAGGAACTTCCTGAAGTCCAGAGGAAGTGATGGAGAGCAGCTCACTGAGTCTCCTCCTGCTGCGTCCTGATTGGATGAAGGAGCTGCTGCTGACCAGTCAGATGTGACGGAGCTGTGAACAGATCAGCTGATGCTTCTGAGACCATATAAACACGCATCGAGACACTGACCTCAATACAGACTGTTCGACCGATGATGATCAGCTCAAACACACTGGATAATCATACAGTCAAATCCAATCCAGTGAAGATATAGCTTTAAAACTACGACTTCTCCAAAATGGGCTCAGATCAAAAGTCATCTTTAAATGATTAGATCACTAAAATATAAGAACTGGCTGAAAATGTGTTCACCCTCGGATCATCAGAGATCAGGATGAGTTTGTTTCTTCATCAGGTTTGTAGAAATGTAGCACTGCATCAGTGTCTCAGCAATGGATGCTCTGCAGTGAATGGGTGCCGTCAGAATGAGAGTCCAAACAGCTGATAAAAACATCAGAATAATCCACAAGTAATCCACAGCACTCCAGTCCATCAGTTACCATCTGGAGAAGACAAAAGCTGAAACTAATCCAGCATTAAGACGTCTTTAACTTCAAATCATCGTTTTTGGAAAAAATAATTATTAACTCCATAAAGTCCATAATCCATAATAACTCTTCCTCCAGTGAAAAAGTGCATCTGCTGTTGTCTCTCACATCAAAATCCAGCCACATATTTGTTTAGAGCTGTTTAAACGCTGCTTGATCTGTGCAGATTTCTCTCCTGATTCAGA